AACATTGATCAACTCTCTGCAAAGTTCTCCACAGAAGTTAAGAAACTCTTGGAAAATTAGGAATTAAATGCATTTGTAATAATTATCACATGCTAAACAAATTCGCGCTGCGCAATCGAGCCCGAACAATGATAATCCTGCCATAAGCGCATCAATTGCGGGGGCGTGGCAAGGGCGCAAGGGCACAACGGTGGCAAGGTGGCAAGGGGCGTATAAACAGGATAACAATGATTTCAATTACCATGCAGTGTCGAATAATTATTCTACCTTTTTTCTGCCGTCTCTTGCGTGAATATTGCTCCCGGGCGTATAAAAACAGATGAACAGGGAGTCGAAGGGTGGCCAGGAACAGAGCCAGAGCCAGAGCTCGAGTGTGGGCTGACTGAGAGCTGTAAGGGGGCACAGTTGGACGACGGCTATGTCTAATGTGCACAAATTTATGACTTTACTACCGACCAAGGGCTGAGTACGCAGGGGTCGCAGCCGCAGCAGCAGCAGCAGCAGGAGCAGGAGCAGAATCAGGAGTAGCAGATGAGGTGGATGGAAGCGAGTTTGGTGGGCGGTTTGTTGTTGCTGCTGCCGCTGCCGCTGCCGCTGCCGCTGCGTGTCGTCTGTTTACATTGTCAGCCTGCAGGCTGAGGGGCAGCCAGATGCTTAAGCTCATTATTATCATTTAAACAAGTCGGCCTCCGTGAGCTACCAAAAGCTCATCCACTTGTCTCTGTTTATGTCTCTGTCGCCAGGGTTGATTTTTGTCCGTGTACCAAAATTTTTGGCGAACGTTAAACGTTTTCAGTTTTAGTTTGAAACATGAAAATACCATTTTCTAGATTTTCAAATAACCGCTCTCTCTCTCTCTCTCTCTCTCTCTCTCTCTCGCTCGCTCTCTCTCTCGTTGTCTGTCGCTCCATGGACAGCCACACCACTCAACTGGTGCTGGTGGTTGTCTGCGATTCGTTTGACTGTTTCGCTGGCCATTCGAATGGATGCTGTGTGATAATGCTCCCGGGACAATTGTGTGCATAATTAGAATAAAGGGTTTTTCCAATTGACATTTGCCGTAAATGGCGATGATTAAAATTTGCCCGCTTTATGGCCAGCTGCAGTGCGGGGTCAGCTTGCTTTTTCTATAATTATTTTTTGTCAATTTTAGCTTTCGTGTAGCTGCTTAATATTTATGAGCACAATCTGATGTGAAGTGCGGACAAGTAATACATAAATTAGTCACGGCAAGGAAATGAGCATAGAATGGGTTGAATAAGCATAGAAAGTCGAAGCTAAGGATCTGCTTGCAGGATAAAAACCTGACAGAAGAAAACGTCTGTTAAATTGCTAATGTGATTTTGTTTAGGAGTAGAGCAATTGTTGATACATGTTGGAATACAAAATAAAATTTGATAGATTTAGATTTTAATTGATTTTTCCTGAGACTGTTGACATATGCATATATGTATATATATGTGTATAACATATTCTTATCTTTAATCTGCTGATCATTTTTATTTTTTCGTCAAATTTTTAACCCATTTTAAATATGTTCTTTTTTTTTTCAACCAGCATGAAAATAGTTTGGGCGGATTGTCGAAAATTCCAAATATATATGATTAACATTAAAAATATTTA